GTTTGTTTGATGATTTCTAGTCATCTTTTCTGATTGTAGGAGAAGTGTTTCTAATCTACTACATAGTGGTTTCCGTGAAAGTCTGGATCAACTGATTCAATCGTATGCTGAAAGGAGAGGACATACTCATGTAGACTGGGATCTGCACGGTAACCTGCAAACGGCAATCCCAGATTCTCTAGAACGTGACACAGACCACCAAGTATTTCTCCAGAACGATACCCAGCTTAATGGCATCAATGGTCCGCAACTGCTTCCCACTCCACCGATGCCACCACCCCAGCCAATATGGCATCAAGATTTGCACCACACTAGCTGGTCACGTCACTCTATGCATCGGTCTGAAATTGTAAGCATTCCATTGAGGGCTTTCGCCTAGAATCCGTGAATGATTAAACATCACAATGACTTATCATAAGCTTGGTAAAAGTTATAGTATTAGATATTAATGTTATTGTTTGCATTAGGAATGGGAGGTAATGAACGACCTAAGAGGAGACGTGGCGAGACTGCAGCAAGGGATGAGCCAGATGCAGAGGATGCTCGAAGCCTGCATGGATATGCAGTTAGAGCTGCAGCGTTCAGTTAGACAAGAGGTCTCTGCAGCCTTGAACCGATCTGCAGGTGACCGAGGTCCGTTCCCATTCTATCCAAAAAAAACTGTTTCTCATTTTGTGATCTTAATAAATGAACGATGATGCAGCAGGTATGAGCCCGGAAACATCAGAGGATGGATCAAGATGGAGTCATGTAAGTAAAGGGACTTGTTGCGTTTGCTGTGACAACCACATTGATGCTCTCTTGTATAGGTAAACTAACCATCTGCTATAAAAAAAAATTGCGTCTCTCGAAAACTCAGAAACTGAGAAATGCTCTGAATCTTGCAGATGTGGGCACATGTGTACTTGCTCAAAATGTGCGAATGAGCTAGTAAGGAATGGAGGTAAATGTCCGCTTTGTAGAGCACCGATCATCGAGGTAATCCGAGCCTACTCCATTTTATAAGGCTCTAATATATTTGG